ATCTAGATCTAGTGTCACAAGATGTAGATCTAGATTCTCTTGATGTAATCTCTGAATTCGATTAATTGGCCTATTTATTAGATCTACAAATCTAGATCTTAGTTGGGTAAAAAACAATAGTCCCGTGACCGCGGGCTCCGGAAGTTTGTTTTTCACATGTTTTACCATCTTCAAGGTCTAAGTAAGAAAATTAGCCCCCATGCCTCTTTTTAAAATTTGGGCGTTACCCGTGAGGCCTTGAAATCCAAGATGGCCGCCAAATGGCAAAAATCGATATTACTCATTGTCTTTTTCCAACACATATGAAGTGTGATACATTACATATGGGGTTTTTTAGGTCAAGAAGTTCATTTTTAGGGTCATTTTCAGCCTTTCGTAAAATATAAGTGCAAAAAATCCAATATGGCTGCCGTCGTCCATATTGAAAATGGGAAAAACGTTTGTATCACAAATAGTAACTTAAGGTTCACGAATTAAAGGCATTAACTGATCTAGGATAATTCTTTTTTTTGTATCATCTCATATTTTTTGTATTTTCCAAGCTGTGTAAATCCAGTTTGGCCGCTCATCAAATATGTACACACATACAGCATCCGCAGTATGGGAGCCTTGTCTATACTTTTTGCATATGTGTAAACCTGTGACCATTGATCTATAACACTGCAGGGCAGGATTCACTGTGTAGATTTGATTTAGCAGCATTTTAGAATCGATGAAACCCGCAAAAAAATATCGCCGTTAGGGGATAATATGCAGTTTAGACGTTCAAAAGATAATCTTACATAATTAGAAAGAACATTAATCTAAAGGACAATAACCTGTTTAGTCTTTACTCTCGTCTTTATCTTGATCAGTTTGGTTTACAAGCTTGCTACATTCATTATTGCTAGTATGAATGGAGGCTGTGGTATTAAAGCTATCCAAAATTGACAACTGTTGGGGTATCGCAGGAAGACTAGGGCGAACTTGCCAGCATTGCCTATTTAACAGTTGCAATCCATGCATGGATAAGGATGGCCTGACATGAATGAGCATAACGTGAACGAAAAAAATTCATTCAGGTGTCCCTTCAGCAGTGACGCCAGAATAGCCCACAAATCTGTAAGCCGCTTGGAATATTTGTGGTGACCATAATAAGTGATGAACCTGATCGAATGCAGATGTCATATTGACTATATTGGCTACTCTTCAGCGTCTTTCAGATGGCATGCATTAACATTTTGATCCAGTGAGTTTGACATCTCCAGTTGACACCTAAAACTTTTCCATGTCTGTGTCAGGCTGTTCGTACACTTGCTTGGCTAGTTCCTTTTTTTTCAACATTCTCCCAAGCTGCATTGTAGCCACCAATACGAGTTCTTTTGATGCATTGGGAACATTTAGGTTTTCCTTTACATTGAACGATTTGTGCTTCCTGTGCTGATGAATCTGTCATGGGCAAGAGCTTCTCTCAACAAAAGAATACACCCAACACCAATAGCCCGTTATGTTTCTCTAGGAAAGCTTGGTATACAGTTCAGGCTGCAAACACAAAAGTCAGCCAACCCAGTTCCTTTAAAGAGTATGAAAGAAGCGTATTTGTATGCCATTTTAAAAAATGAAATGCCCCCCCCCCCCAAAAAAAAAAATTTAAAAAAAAATTTAAAAAATTGGAACAATATCCTGACACTCAGGAACTTCCGGATGGACTGCTGGTTCACGGTTACTTTCAATTGGACATTAAGTTAATTTAATCTTCAACTTTGCAGTGATTTCGTTTTTTAATATTACTAGTAGGGGACCTTGGTTGTCATAATTTCTTTCACTGGCTTCTTAAAACTCTAGGTAAATTTTATCTAATGAGCCCTAGTCACATCCCCTCATGACGCATCGGCTTTGAATAGAACTAATCCTGATCAACGATGACAATAGCAAGTTTTTCCACTGGCAATTTCTTGTGAAAAAGTAAAAGATGTTTTCATACCCTGCAAATCCATACAGTCCAGATGCTGATAATAATATATGTATCGACATCACTTTTGAGCATAGTGTCCGTCAAATTTCTGCTCCTTTTGACACCGTGCATAGGCCTACTTATGCCCATCTTAATGACTGTGCTCGCAATTTCTCCACGTGCTTAGTAAATCAGCATTAAAGCTAAACCATAAGTTGTTGGCCTTTACATATTTTTTTTCAGATTCTTGAGCAGTGTTATACAGTTACGTTTCGAGAGTAATGGGGCCATTTCTTCACTTTCTTCAAGCTCTTTTGTCAGGTAGCCACGTTACTGTGTCTCTTTCCTGTATCTGTTACACAATCGAGGCGTAACATTTTGGATCACCTTCTGGTCGCTTACCCCAAGAGCTTGTATTGCTGACCTGATATAATCTTCCCTTCCTTTAATATCACACATCCACTCATGTTTGTTCTTTTCCTTTTCGTACTTAAAGCCTATGGAATCTCTGCATTTCTTAGTACGGAACTCCGACCGATATGCCGATTTCATATCTCCAACTGCATACCCACAGTCATCGGGAATGTGCTAGTGATCTTCAAGAAGGGACTTCAATGAACGTATATATTTGTCCTTTAAAAATTTGTTATGCTTTCAAAACGTTTTGAAAAAGAAATCTGAAAGATTTATTTTCTAAAGACTCATTGCCGAACCAGACTCTCCACCGCCTTGGGATACGTGCTTGTTCCAACGTTCAGGGTGGTAGCTGATGTTTGCAAAAGAACCAGACAGGGTGGAAGTAGACAAGGAAACTATTGACAGTCCATCCTTAATGTCTGGATATTCACGCCAGAAAAGTCTTGCCGTCGTCTCTTTCCATTTAAAGTTCAAGGGTTTTTTTTTTAAGTGTGTGTGTGGGTTGTTGTTATTTTTTAAAGTATTACAATTAATGTGAAAGAATCAGAAGGTGCATGAAATAGTTCCACTGGACATCTGTCCACTGAGTGGATTCATAGAGATCACACATTTATCAAGCCCTCACCACTTTCAGATTTTGTTTTCACAGTGTTTCACGGAGACTGGTTTATATATGAGAGGGTTTGAGTGGCTTTTTCAATACACGTGTTTAAGCAAACACTCACACAAGACAGACACATTGTTCTCGTATTTAAAAAACCCAATTTTTGGAGTAAAAAATAAGTATTATACTGACATCATTTTTTTCATTCTTTATGTTACATTTATCTGAAAAGAAGAGAAATACCAATTTAGAAGCGTGGTGGATACAAATCAATACCTTTGGGGCAAATATATTTGATTAAAGTACAAGCAGAAGAATGAGGGCAATAAGTATGTTACTGTTGGAGACAGTGTAGCAAGCGGTGCATAGCTTAGTTTCAAAATGGTAAATTCGAATCAGTTTTCTTTTTAGAAACACATTTAAAAAAATTATGAGTATATATAAATTGGCAACGCTAATTTTATATTATTAGTTAGCTTTTAAAACTTGCTCTAATGGAACATCCGATCTTTCGGGGATGTTTTTACTTTCATTGTCAAGGAATGTCGTAGTTAAAGGTTTGGTTACAACACGTACAATGCCTTGATCGCG